TAATTAGCATACATGTATATGCTGTTATTGTTACTATAAGCATTATAGCATTGTTTATATTATACCAAACGAGTTATAAAAAGTAAAAATGAAAAAAGCCCCATTGAAAAAAGGTAGGGAGCCGCTCCAGAGTCGACACTAATGACAAAGTCAAACTGGCAAGCACTCACTTCCTGCTCGGTTAGAGGCCCCCTGCCCCCTAGTCGTCGTCGTCGTCGTCCCCCCCCTACGGGAGTCAGTGTGTTGTGACCGGGGGCCCACGGGCCTGCAGTCGAGGGCACCGCCCGAGCATGGCGCCATCTTGAACCGGGCACCGGAGGCCCGGTCTCAACCAGAATGCCGGCCTCCGAAGTATGTTAGTCAAGTCATGATTATAAGTGGCTCATCCAGCCGGACCGACTCGCACGAACAACACCGGCCCGAGGACGTGTCACGAGACAGGAAGGAACAACGACCCTCGGTCGTGGGTATAGTGAGATGAGCTTTGCTAAGCGACGCCAATAACAACCTGAGAGTAGAGTCTCCTGTGTTCCCATTGTTGTCGGCGAACCGGAAGATTTAGATCCAGGGGAGACGGGGCAAACACTTCAGATTGTCCTCGCGGAAACGAACAAAAGTCCTAAAAATCAAGTGTCACCGGGCCCTTGGAGGCAGAGCCAGTGTCGCGTCGAGGCCTGCTTGGCGGACGGAGGGATCAACGTCCAACAGCCATCGGACGCGAGTAAGTGGGAGTCAAGGGTTCGGGTCCCTCGTCCTCTCTCGCCTGCGCGCATCTACGCGTCCAGTTACCGAGGACAGAACGACTCTTCGCATCAGCCGGACGATGCAAGTACTCGTCGTCCGCTATTGCTGTCGTCCACGGGAATTCGTGTCGAACACAGAAAGCGTCAAGGGACGCGGATCGGCCACGAACCCTCGACCCCACAAAAGCTGACGTCTGATCGCATCGGCACAAATGGAGGATCATCCCCTTCAAGTCGCCTGTACGCTGCGTCCGGCTTATGGACCAGGTTGGAGGGACTCCGCCCGGAGCGATGGTTGGGAATTTTCGGTGACGTCGCTTGCTCGTCGCCCAAGCAAACCAAAGGGACTCGGGTCCCAATGGGCCCATCCGACAGGAGCGATCAGGTTACCCACTAAAAGGTGACTTCGAGAGTGCTTTAAACCGGTCCCGAGCGTTAGGCGGGGTACAAATCATGTTATCTATTGAGAAATGGAGGGGGGTATGCGAAGTGGGCATACCGACGCATGGATACCGAATAGAAGGTCCAAGCTTGAAAAGGGAGCGAGACATTCGACCATATGAAGCAGAGATGAGACTGTGCGGGTGCAGCACCATGGCAGAAACACATAAAAGCATACAAAAATACGCATAAACACACCCCATTCATAGGCGGGGAGACGCAATGGGACAAAGATGACGCACTAGACGACACGGTTTAATTGCCGAGCTCATGATTTCAAGTCTAATCGGATATGGCAATCTGCTAAAAGGGGATGTGTGTGTGTGTATGTGTGTGTGTGTGTGACGAAGTGTTGGGGCCAGACGACTATGACAGGCATACACTCGGACGACGGTTAAGCACGCAAAGACAAACACAGGTGAAGGTGATTTCTGTGAATCGAGTCGAGCAGAGCCACAAAACCCGTTTGGCTCGGTTGTGAACCGACGTGGCGAGAGGAATGTCGAACGGGAGGCGAATGGGGTACGCTGTAAAAACGGCATAAAGCCCCCTCCCGACAAGCGCACAAGCAGATGGCACAACGCCGAGTGCGCCGGTGAGTGAAGGGAGCATGTGATTGAGGCGCAGCCTGACAACAGAGGGATTGCAGAAAGAGCCTACAGAATGGCAGCGGTGACGAACACAGGCGGCCCAGGCCGAGAAGACGGTAAGTGCATGTGTTAGCGACGGAATCAAGCACACACAGACCCACACCCACACCCACACAAAGGGGAATGAAGACACACAGAGGGAAGGTAGGCAGATTTGGGTGAGAAAATAGGGGACAGGCGAAAAAGGTAGTTGGCGATGTGCTCAGGTGGAGGAAGTAGAGGTGAACAAACAACGGGCCCCAAGAGTCGGGGGGCAAAAAGGGAGTACACGATGGAAAAGTGGGTTTCAAAGAGTGCCTCGGTGAGTTGATGGAATGTGACTTTCCAGTTCGAAGGAAGGAGTTCGTGAAATCGTCTCACCGGAAACCGAACGAGGATTGATGCGGAATGAAGTGTTGAATTGCGGTAACAAGTGCCCGATGAACCTGTGCCACAGAATACATACCTCACGAAATACCGCGAAAGATACACTCATCCAAGAGAAAAGATGGCCGGTTGTAAGCTCAATCGCATTTCCTGATTTGGTGACCGTGTGTTTGCAGTGGATTTCACACAGCCTCGCTTCCCAAAAGGTGTTCTCGTCCAGGTGAACTTATAAACGATTATTAAAGCAAATTCACCTTTGCCTCATCTGCCATCCCACCGCAGAATGTGATACGAGAAAATGCATGGGCTGCTTTCGTGAAATTCACATCCGCCCTGTGGCGAGATCATACGCCGCACTATC